GGAAATGTCGGTTTCTAGGTAAGGCAGATGGCTAATGGTGGAGGAGCTGATGAAGTCGAATTGGCAGCGGCGCGTTGTCGAAAAAGTCGGAGAAAGCGGTCAAGGACTGAGTAGGCCTGGCGGCACATGAAGATTAATGTGAAGAGCTAGACAAAGGGAGATAATAAATCGCCATGGCTACTCCTGTGGTTTACCTGTAGATCGCTGGTGCTCACATTCCATATGCGGGTGATCTGCAGCGGCATGCAAATGTTTGCATCAAACGCATGCATGTTACATATTATGACACGCTAAACAACAAAGGGACTCGACGGTGACTCATTGTATCTTGTTATGTTGTCCATGTTGTGTCTGCGGCACATGTTAGCCTCTCCCGACACGGTCGCGTCGGTGGAGGAAAAGTCGTTCGATGGGTAACATGTTCGAATTATCTACAACAATTACGAGAACTCGAACAAAGAGCGCATCTCGTCTCCAACGCAATGTGTTTCGACCGACACAGCTCAGGATTGAGCGGGCGCGCTCGTCCCAAAGGGGAGAAGTCGCGAACTCTGCCTCGCACAGATCCCAAACGCTCCCGACAAAGCTTTCCTGTTTGACAGCTCTTTTGTTCGTGAACCTTGTGTAATTTTCTTCTTTTTTTCCTTGGAGCGGCCTTGGTCTTCTCCATCTCGAGGGACGAGGTATCTCTACTGCGCCCTCTATAGAATGCGCCCTCTGAAATGTAAATGTATGAAATTGGAACAGCCATTATGTCGGTAGCTCATCCTGTTAGACATAACGGTTTTCGCCGGTGAGACTGCGTCGAGGACAGTGCAGACGGTACCCACGGCCAGAGTTTGTTCCATGCTTCAGCCGACTGAAACCCCCTTCTCCCCAACCTTTGAACCCGCCGCATCCCCGTCCCATCGCGCGAGCCCCTTCATATTGTTCTCAATATTCTAGAGAAATACTTGAAGCCAGTCTAGAGCAGCCTCCGTTCGCTCGGTAACCGTTGGCAAGCCGCATCGCTGATCAAGTCTGGTCTCCGTCCCACCCATTCTTTCTCTAGTTGCTCCCGACGCAGGCGTTCTTCAACTCCTTAAAAATCATCCA